CTAGGCTGTTGTATCGTTTGACAAGAGCTCTAGGCTGTTGTATCGTCTGACAAGAGCTCTAGGCTGTTGTATCGTTTGACAAGAGCTCTAGGTTGTTGTATCGTTTGAGAAGAGCTCTAGGCTGTTGTATCGTTTGACAAGAGTTCTAGGCTGTTGATTTGGTTACATTTGTGCACTTTTCACATATTTACAGAGGTAAATTGATGCTAAAGTTTAATGCCAATTATCCGTGTAAGAAAATTTAAAGGAACAATCCTGATGATAGTAGATTTCCGTAAACATTAGGACAGGCATTTTTCATAAACAGACCATGTAGAATCCTGTTAACATTATTATCACCTACAGCACCACCCCACAAGAATGCCCCTCCCCCATCTAAGACCCTTATGCACACACTCTAAATTAATTTCACATTGGATCCAGCTAACAATGTTTTGTATGTAGCCCTACCCCCCAGCACGCCCATCCCCTACCTCCAATAACCCAGATGTACACAACTCCAGCTAACATTTTTAGTATATCACCTTACCCCTGACACTTCCATTTCAAAACTCAACTGCCCTGATGCATAATATCTAAGTAGGGTATTTAGTTGATATCCATATCCTCGCTGTCCTCGACGCCGTTACTAGCAGCACCGTTAGTTAACCCACAGTCTGAAGCACCGCTAGTTTCTGTAGCCGGTGCAGACGACGGTTTTGTGATATATTGGTTAAGAGTTGATTGAAAACCACGTTTTTGGTACACTAACACATATGCTGCTTTTGACTGAAAAGGAAAAGACGGCATTTACAATTCAAAAGTAACTTTGTGTGTTCTATTTTTAGAGGATAGCTTGCCAGGCAAGGATACTCTTGGTAAAGATTTTACAAGGATAACAACTTGAGCTCTCAAGGATCTTGTCTACCAGCTGGTCCTTGCCCAAACCTCTTGACATTGATGACAACTTAGGTGCATGACGATCCTGTTTACCTGTTTGCTTTGCCAAACAACTTGGTAATAAGTTTACAAGGATAACAATTTAGGTTCTCAAGGTCCAGTCTTCTGGCTGGTCCTTGCCCAAACCTCTTGACATGGGTCTTTCCCAGATTATCACTACTCATTAACACGTGGGTCAAATGTAAGGTGCAATACTTACTACAACTTGATCTTCTGAGGACTGGCTGACACTTGAATCATCAAAATAATACCATTCATTAGATGATTTATTTAACCCATAGGCTGTATCTAGAATATACCATATTACAGAGATTGTAAAGAGATTTGCACAATATACAATATCAAAGGGATTGTAAAGAGTTTTCTAAACTTTTTATGTGTATCAGGGACGTACGTGGTTTCCCTAGAACTAAGCGTTTTATGTCACAGCACTAAAGCTATCATTTTACAAATTACACTGCCCCTGACACTATACCTCCTCGATTAGCACCTTCAGTCTTTGACATGGAAGCAAGATATCTTGAAGAACTTATGCCAAGTCCATTCTAGCAAGCAACTTGCACCAAGATACTTCTAAGATACAAGATAGTTGAGAATTTATTCTGAGTTTGAAAATGGATCCATACTAGGAATTAAGGGAGCAAGGGGTTCACATTATTTACACTAATGATTTTCCCTGATATACTAGAGGGTAATACAGGGTGCGCGTTATACAAGCTTGCGCATTATAATCACAATTATACAGTATACAGAAATTTCAGTTACAACTTACAATGCCCTCCTCCTAATCCACCATAATGATTAGAAACAGCTATCAAATCATAGTAACTTTTAACACCTTTATTGTTTATAACATATTCTTGTAGATTTAAATCACTGAAATATGAAGATGTCATAAATCAGAGCAAATTTAAATTAATGTTACATGTCACTAGGTTTGTGAACTCATCTTTTCTTTTGGAGAGTCCACACAGCTAATGTTCCTTTGATTACGCTAATGAATTAAAAAACATAAAAGGGAGTTTTATATCCTACTTTCTGATCAAGCTGGTTTAATGAAGGAAGACGATGCCATGCAGTGTTCAATGATGGAAAATTTACCAAGATAGCTCCATTAGTCTCCTGTTTATTTGATTTTCAACTGCCGTGCATACAAGAATAGTTGAAGGTCAGTATGGAAAGACCACAGACTGTTAGACATGGTGATATATGCCCACATTCTTAAGCTCATGTAGTCATTTGTTACTTACTGTACTGGGAATTCCACTAAAGCATCTAATTTGTCTCTCCAATATCGATTGTAGGAGAAGCGTTTAAGATGAATTATTAAGACATTAGGTAACGACCATAGATCAAACTTCTTGGTGGCTTGCTGATGTTTCTTACATGTTGGACAATACCTTTAACACAAGATTTTATATAGTTCAGCATTTCAAATATATTAGGACTGATACATCTGCACAAATTTCAACATAAATGAGAGAAGAATAGGGTCTCATGGTAACAATAATATGGTCACAGCCTTTTGGTCACAGTAATATGGTGACAGCAAGTTGGTCACAGTAATATGGGGCCACAGCAAGTTGGTCACAGTAATATGGTCACAAAAATTTATATGGTGACAGCAAGTTGGTCACAGTGATATGGGGCCATAGCAAATTATATGGTGACAGCAAGTTGGTCACAGTTATATGGTGACAGCAAGTTGGTCACAGTCATATGGTCACAGAAAGTCATATGGTGACAGCAAGTTGGTCACAGTGATATGGGGCCACAGCAAGTTATATGGTCACAGTGATATGGTCACAGTAATATGGTCACAGCAAGTTATATGGTCACCGCAAGTTGGTCACAGTGATATTGCCACAGCAAGTTATATGGTCACAGCAAGTAATATGGTCACAGCAAGTTATATGGTCACAGCAAGTTGGTCACAGTAATATAGTCACAAGGTAAATTGGTCACAGCTTACCAGGGATCCTGCACACTGAGTTTTTCAGCCTCAGTAAAGAGTTTCAGACAATCACTCAACTGAATAACTTGTTTTTTTTGTGGGTTTTTATTTCTTCCACTTTCATGTTCTTCTACTGCCTACAAAACAAAATAAATTGTCCTAAAAACTAAAGGTTACATGGCAGCCACAAGCAGTGTGTCAGGATAACTGTTTTTTTTGATCGGTGATGTGGCACACAGGGCCTCAGTTTATTGTCCCATCTGAACGACATGTTGCTTTATTCATTTCAGTCCCACCAACGGAAAAACCGAGTTGGAAAATTCAATGGTATTGTCTTGATGTGGCACATAGTGCCTCGGTTTTTTTGTCCCATCCGAACGACTAGATGCTTTATTCATTTCAGTTCTCACCGACGGAAAAAGCGAGTTGAAAAATTCAAGGGTATTGTCTTGACCCATAACCCTGAACCTTCAGGTAAGCGTCCGACTCACTGACCAAGTGTTATTCAAATAAAACTGAAAAATTAAGATCTATTCCTACCAGAGCTTTATTTTCATCATAAAATTTTTCTTTAGCAGCCGAATGCCAATCAACAGCAATATATGTTCTGGCTGAAATAGACATACAATATCGATGTTAGAATTCCATACTTCACTCGTTACTTGATCTTCAGCCATGGATGCATAGGTCAGACATTTTGTTGGGGAGGAGAGGAAGAGAAAATAGACTGGGTTCTTTACAAGATAATGACTGCCCCATCAGACATACATCAATTTCTTTGTAAAAACTCGAGTTGTCATGTGCTTGACACCCCTCAAACTTTTAATGAACCCTTCCACACATGCATACTGACATAGTTTTATGTTTGTTAAGATGAGTTCATTTACAAAACAAGGGGTGTTTTAATTTACTTCTAGTCTCTTGAATATGAGATCAAAACTTTCTTACGTGTTACTTTCAAAGGTCTTCCATCATCTTGAAATTTCTGGTCTAGTTCTGAACTACCGTAAGAATTAACAGCGGTAAATGTAAAGAGACGTTTGGGTTTAACTGGTTTCTCATCCTTCTTCTTGTCTTCATCTACATCATCATCATCTTCATCTTCACTATTACATACATCCATCTTGCTTACTTCTACAAATAGATGAATCGTCATATTAAAAATCAAAAGATTTTTATAGTATTGTGGACACTTTAAAATCAGAGCAGAAGAAGAGTTGTAGAAGTTGAATGGAAATTTGGAATGTGTCTCTGATACACCCCTACGTAGAATTTCCTAATCTTTTCAAAAATAGCCTCTACTCTACCAGTTATTTTCATGTTCTTCAGTGGATCCGAAGAGCACCTGTCACCAAGTGTGTCTGCTTTAAGGTATATAACTTGAGTTCTTCTTGCACAAAGTGTTAAAGATTAGCATTATATTGGGAGTTGAAATGAAACAAGATGACGTACCCCCGTTTATATGTTTATCAGTATTGTTGTTTCCCCCATTTTTGCCCTCCTCCCCATCCTCTTCCATATCCTCTTTATCCTCGTCTTTCCACCATTCCTCTTTACTCTCTGGTAGTCGGATATAACGTCTACAACAAAACCAGCATGTCCGTTGTCATAGTGAAAATAAATCTGTCTAGTTCAAGATATCCTCAACAATGTGTTAATAGTAACATTAATCAGATAGGAGATCAAACTTTGTCTTATACCTTGACTGCAATAGTCACCTTTCTTGTGTCACAGAATGCTGTGATTTGGTTGGACTGTATGTTTATGTTTAATTGACGAATACAGCCAATCAGAGCTCTTAACAGAAAGACTGTATCCAATACTGTTATGCATATAGTTAGTCGCAATAATTGTGCTTTTTAACAAAGCATTTGATTGGCTATATATTCAAACCTTACAAGGGAGATAAATCATGTATCTTAAAGCTTGTCAATAGTCGTTGAACAAATTTGAATAACTTAAAATTTCTAAAAAAATAATAGGAAAACCTACCCCATCTGTACCAGTAATAGATCATATAACATGTCATATGTGACTTTTCCTTTTACAGGTAACAATAACGGACTGCCGAATAACTGATCTCTTCCACCGTAATTATTCGTTGGTTTGGCTCGTCTACAATATATCATACAGAAATAAGGGACTGGTCAATATTCTTGAAACGATCTTAGCGCGATTACACTTTCGTTCTGTTTTTTTTTTAATTATTGAAATTTTCCAAAAAAGTTTGACCTACCCTTTCTCTCTAAAATAAATAGGTAATATAACTACATTAGGATCTTCCGTATTTTTCACTGAAGTTTCATATCTAAAAATAAAACAAAAATAACATTCTTCAAATATAGTTTTCACCAAACATTTTGTCCTGTTGCTTTGGGATTGAACCATGATCCAACATGCTCGTAAAGAAGACAAAACATTGAAAATAGTTTGTAAAGTCAATATTTTGCCACGCCACAATTCACCACATAACAATGCTCATTTTGAGTAGAGGAAACTGTAAAAAGCCTTTGCGATATATTTGTAACTGAACAAAGCTATTATTGGTTTAAGCCCCTGGTTTCCAACCTGGGGTGTTTTCACCCCCTGAGGATGTGGGTTTAGTGTAGGAGAAAAATTTATTTTGAATTGAGAGAGCATCTCACATCATCACATGCTGGAAATGAAATGTGCTCCAGGGGTGTGAAGGCTGAAAAAGGTTGAGAACCACTGTTTTAAGCAATGTTATCTTATTACTTTACACATGAAATTATAGGAGCCGCGGTGGCTCAGTGAGTTAGACACTTGCTCGCTAACCTGAAGGTCAAGGGTTCAATCCCGGCATAGCCCCGTAAGCTACAGGCTGTGACATTAAAGATCCCTCGACAGTTGGAAATCGAAAAGAGCAGGCTACTGCCGCTGTCCTGGCAAAATTTCCCTCATTGCACTCTTCATTAGCCCACATGATGCAGAAAAGTAGGACGTAAAACTCCATTCATTTCATTTCATTTACATGAAATTATAGAACAATTTAAGAATTGTATCAGAAACAAGCCACAGTTAATGTTAAATTATCACCCAAGGTTGTGAATACTTACACATATATAACATCTCTTTCTAAAATATGACTTAAACCATCTTCTTCTTTAAATATTTTATGAAATCTGTGATTATATACATCTGTAACTACCATCTGTAAATAATTATAGAAAGTTATAATTTGCATGGATAATGACTTAGAATGTCTCTTAACCCTTTGAACACTGAATGTAAATGAAATATAACATCATATACCCTGAACTCCAAGTAATAAAAGTAAAAGTGTATGCCATCACTTGGTAACAATCGGTAAACCAGCCACTAGGGTTGAAAGGATTTAAGATCTGTCTCTCTTAGCAAAGGCTTTTTTTGGTAAATGGAATTTCAACAGTTTTAATTCTTGTGGATTTTTAGAATCTTGAGGATGCTGTCTGCCTTCTGGTTTAAACTAATCAGCAAATGACAAGTATAACCAAGGTTTTTTGAATTTCCAAGTTTGTAACCAATCTCTTGGGATAACTAAAGTGGCTAAGATTCTAACAACTTATAGTGTAAAAGGATCATGTCAATCAGCTGGTCCTTGGTCAAATCTCTTTGTACTTACCATTTCATGAGGAGTGTCAACTATTTTAGATAAGGCTTTCCGTAAATCTCCTACACACCCTGTTTTAGGCACCGTAACCTTTATCTGTAATATAGAAATTGTCTATAGAACCAAATATTCCAGGCAGTGTTCATTGAGGAAAATTTTGCCAAGACCGCAACATTAGCCTTCTCTTTTCGATGAACAACTGTGGAGAGATCTTTAACATGCACAGTCTGTAGCACAATGGGCCTTGGCTTAATGTTCCATCCAAATTACCGAACTTTTTCATCTCAACCGTCCAAGAAATGAGAAATGCTACAAAATAGCACCTCCTTCACAAAATGTCTGATAATGGAACACAGGATGATACTTACCGCTTGAGGTTTCTCATCAGGAGTTAGCGGCACCCATGTAACGTTCATAAGTCTTTCCTTTTTAATAGGTAACGGTAGAGAGAGGTAACAGAAAGGGTCAAAAGTCACTGATATTTTAAAACACTGAGGACACTGAACTGTTGATTTTAACAATCCATGAAACGTATCAATAATCACAGAATCATTACGTTTTAAATAATTATCCCATGCTTCTTTCGCTACCACCTGTAAAGATAAAAATTGGATATTAGAATGAGGCTACGTGCTGTGTACAATGAGGGAACTTGTGCCAGTCAATTGTATTCAATTACACTCAGATTTCTACCCAACTGCTTGGCTAAAGCCCCTGTCAAGGCAAAACTTCCCTCATTGCACCCTGCAAGCGTTGCTGTCTTCATTAGCCCACAAGGTGCAGAAAGTAAGACGTAAAACTCCATTCATTTCTACCCTACTGCACCAGATTTGGGATGTTCGATGAGGGGAACACCTTTATAGCCAGACTCAAGCAAACTTCTTTTTTAAAACGTTCCAGATATGGGTCATGAAAACAGGCAACGCCTTACAGTGTGCAGTGGGGGAATCAATAACCCTTTATCTTAAACTATTGACCTTACCTCATCTGGTCTGTCCCCTGCGTCTGTCAATTCGACGTATGGTTTTGATTTAATTCTGTTCAAGTCTTCATGTAGCCCGTCCAGTAAAAAAGCCATCAGTTCTTGTGAATCTTGTTGTTGGTAACCAGAAAATTGGGGAGCAAATCTTCCGACAGATAACTGGAAAAAAAGAGTTTTTATAGAGAAATTAGAAAAGTGGCCATTTTGCAAGGGCAGATAATTCTCAAAAGTTTTGCTATATTCACTGAAATCAAAACGTAACTGGTTGATGTTCTAAATGTTTTAATACATCAATTAAGAAATGGCATAAATATTGATCCTGGCATTCCAGGTGTAAATACTGTAAGAGTCCAGAAAACGCCACCCCCATCCCCTCTCACCACAAAGATACACCACTAAATTCTAGTTAAATACCTTGAAAGCCCTAGGTAAAGAATAAAGATGTTTTCCACACCACATAGTTTGTATCAACTCAGCGTAAGATTCTGCGATCTCTCCCCTCATTCCTAATGGATTGTCAGGATTTAGTTCTTCCTTCCACTTTCCACTGAGAAAATATTCTGTTAATGAGGGTACGTTACTCATACACTGAAAATATCAATGACAAAATATCATTTAATTGATAAGATCTCATTTTAAAGGGATTTTAAAGGGATTGTAAAGAGATTTTCTAGCTTTTTTATATATGCATCAGCAACAATTATGGATTCTATTTGCATAATTCCAATTTTCCATCAGATGTCTGTGGTTCCTGGCAATATAAGAAATGCTTTACTGTATATAACGTTACTATTGCAAAAGATGCTAAGTATTTGAATTTTCCATTTTTGATAGTGTTAATCCAAGTGAACGTATAAAATTGATAAAATCTCTGTACCAAAAAGGCATTTTTGTTATTTGAAGCAGACGCATTCTTCGTTTGAATTTGAGGGGGAGATAGCTAAGATAGGAGGGGCAGGGCTGTTTGTGGGTGGCTCTTACCTGTAATGCCGAGTTCATAAAACAAGTGTTACCGAGATTCGATAACCCACAGAGACCAGGTGTGGCTGACCCTCGACCTACTTCATATTGGTAATTATTATAACTACTAGCGCTACCTTGTGAGCTACTTTCATAATTAGAACTTCCTGTGTAAGACCTGAAATATAAAATATAGAAAATAAACATGACTGACACTTGGAAATAAAAAAAATATTGGGTATTAGGAGTGAGATCTGAATCCCGGAAGCACTGGCACAGGCATCAGCATTCTTAACTTCAAGAGGATTGATTATGGTAATTCCACTATATAAACTCTTTTATTAGAGATGGGAGAACAAGAAGAGGTTCCCAGCATTTTCGGAGATCTCTGCCATCCAGGATAATTCTGTAATCATATAAGTGGAATTACAAAAAAATGTCACTCATTGCCCACTCTCTAGAGTTTGTAAAGGTCTTCAGTTAGGAATACTGACCTTGTAGATGTTCTTTCATAGCTTGTACCTGTATTATAGCTACTCGTACTGAAATATATACCAAATAAATCTATCGAATCGGCTAAATTAAAAAATTTAAAATTTTTGCTTTAAATTTTGTTCAACCCTTTCAACCCTAGGGGCCAGTTTACCGGCCTAACACTAACACAATATATATACCCGAATAGCCGGTATACCAGTCGTTACTAAGTGACGTCATACAGCGTTAACGTCATACACTTTTACTTTTATTACTTGAAGTTCAGGGTATATGATGTTTTATTTCATTTACACTCAGGGTTCAAGGGTTAAACACATTAAAATAGAATATACCAAGTACATCAATGAACTAAAATAAAACCTATCGAATTCTTGGGTTTTAAATATTGGTTAACACATATTAAAGCTACTTCTTTGTGGTATTTGAAGATTATTCTCCCAAGAAAAACACTTCTTTCATGTATAAATTCATGTGTCAATATATTACCTCTTAGCAGGTCGTGGCCAGGTGCCGTCCTCATTCTTCTGTTCAATGACTATCACCTGACCAGGGTAGAGCCCCGAGTCTTGAAGCGTGTTTTCCATTTTACTCAGGTGTTCGTACGTGTTGCTCATATATCTGTTCCATATTCTAACTTCCTTCTCTTCAGGTATATTGTACTCTTTTTTCATTCGCTTTTCAAGTTCCGCTGTAAAAAAAATACCACTTTATGCCATATTTCCGAAGATCCTAATTTTAGAGACCTCAATTATTGACAAAATTTTTTGTTTTGACTTCATAAATTCGATAATTTTGTTCATGAATGCCAAATGAAAGTTCCAATGGCTTTTAGAAATCAAAATTACATAGAATCAAATTACAGATTTTGGCTGGAAGATCCAATGTAAAAAATACTACTACATAATCAAAGTGTCATCAAAAATACAAATCTAAAGATTACAAGAAATAAAATGAAATGAATGGAGTTTTCTGCATCACGTGGGCAATATTTAAAAGTAGGGTAAGATAATGCTTGTATTGTCCAATCAGATGCTTCTAAGCTAAATGCTGGAGAGATTTGAAATTTTAAGCTACATGTACGGTCAACACCCCTAAATTTCGAAATGAACTTTTCCAAACATGCATTTAATCATTGTAAATCAAGTATTTTTGGGACAGTTCATTCTTGTAAGTAGGGATGTTAGATGTAGGTAATATGTATAGAAAGTGTAAGATTTAATGCAGATATGCATAGATTACCAAGCACATGAGAATGCTACTACACTATATATGCTTTCAAAGCTCAAATACGACTAACGCAGATATCTAAGCTCATTCAAGTCCAATTCAAAACACAAACAAGAACAGTCCATTTTGATTTGAGGTAAAAAAAAACTTTTGGCGCATGAACAGCAATTGTTCATATCTAGAGGGCAAGAGGAATGGCACTACAGCTATAATCTTGCAAAGATATTAATGCACATGCATGTCTGATTGAAAACACAAACATGACCAGTCCACTTTATTATAAGGTCCTGTAAGTAGTAATGAACAGAATATAAGTCTTGCTTGTATAGCTTCAATTACTGTTCAATCCACCTAAAATTGAAGTTGACTGTTCATGTTTTTGATTCGGACCTTGACGTGCATTAATAACTTTGCTTGACTCTAAAGAAGCATGCAGGAATCGGCTAAAGAAATGAACATGTACCTATGGTAGCAGATCGACTCAAAAAAATCTGAAGTTCTTTATCAAGGTTGGAATATTGACAAATTTTCATGTTCCATGGATATACTTCAACTTTAAGTTGTTTTGTATAGCAACCATCCTCTATGACTTGCCTAGGCATAGCAGTCTGAAAGGACAATACATGCAAAGCATTACATGCAGGCAAACCTCTAAAAACAGGGTTGGAAAAGGAGGGGGGGGGGGGGGGCTGATATATGTTCAATTCAGTTATTGACATATGCTAACCAATGAATGTTTGTTTGGTTGATGTCATACATCTAAATAACTAAATTGTACATCATAGCAAACAAACAAAATTCAATAAAATACCAAAATGTTCAAAAAGCAAGCAACCTTTTATACCTCAGTAGAGATATATTCAGTATACAGCCAATAAAAATTTTAGCAATTCTAATTTTTTTTTATGTATATCAAAATGAAATACACCTAAAATTGTTGTTTGAATTTCTCAAACATCACTAACTCTGTTTCATTGAGAATGGCTCAATATATAGGTTTCAGATATTCGCATCATTGAATTGGGTTTGCTTTTATATAAACCATCACCAAAGGCTGAACATGCAGATAAAAATAGAGTCACTTTAATCAGATGTAATTAAGCTACACTGTCCAATTTAGAACACATGTTAGTTTCAAAAACCAGTTTTAAATAATTGAAGGGGCCATCTGATTGAGAATTTAACCCCAAAAAAATTGTGTTTATTAACTTATTCTAATAATTTGAAACTTGCAAAAAAAAAAAAAATTTTAATAATCAACTTTAAAGGAAATCAGCCATATTTAAAATCCAACTCTTGCAAGGGTCTCTTGTCTAGTAGTCTTGAAATTGTGCCATTGAAAATCTATGTGGCCTAGCTCCTTACACTTTAAAACAGGGTCAGAAATGATCTGTGTTAAACAGGTTCTGAAGTCAAGTTCATCAAATAAATCTGTAAAGAATTTAGTTAGTTTAATCTAGTCAAACCTGTTTGTCAGTCAACCAAACTAACTTTATTAATTACACCCTAAAGTTTATATCAGTAGTTTTTTTTATAATCTTAAACAAGAATGTCAATTTGCAGTGTTTCCTCAAATTCCTTATATTTAAGACAGCTTTGTTCTAAAACATCTAATAAAGTGACAATATTTGTACCAAAACCAAGGGGACATTAGATATATAGATATACCACTAGTAATATTATGATACCTATAGTAGACGCTCGGCTAAACTGTCTAGCAACAGTCTTATCTAAGTTAGAATTCTCACAGAGTTTTAATTCTAACAGATACACCTCAACTTTACAGTGTTTGACAAACATGCCCTGTTCTATCACCCCACGACTGATTGCTTCCTACAAATAAAGCACAATTATTTCTCAAAAAACCAGTGTAATTCCAACAATAAGCTCTGTAGGCCTAAACTTATTGATGAAAGCTTTGCCATATTATTGGGTGGATGAAGCCCTCCTTAAATATGAAATTTAAGCCAGCAATTGGACATCATACATTCAAAGCCTTCTAGTATGCATGCCCAGACTTATTTTTGTATGAGGTTGTTTTGATTAGTATAAACACCTGTCCCAGACAATTTTTTTTAAATCAAATAACCATGTTACTTCCAATTCTAATTGATACACTGATGGGAACACACAAGAATTCACTGCCATTTTTTAAGCTGGGCTGGGGAAAGATGACTTATCAAGAATCACACAGGCCACTGAGATTAGAACCCATGTCCACCATTTGTGACGTAACCAAGCAACTGATGTCATATAAAGGTTCCAAAGCTCTAACCAATTGAGCTACAAACTGTCCTCAAACAGTGAATACAATCCTACAGCTTACCTGTCCTTGAATGATTCCATACCAACTGACTAATTTGTTCCAAGCATCTTTTGGTAATAAATGGTAATCCAAATCTTCACTGAGATGTTCTTGTAACGTACCATCTTCTAAAATAAACAAAATCAAATAAAATTTTCATCAATAAAATGGAAAGAGCTTCAAATAAGAAGATTGTGTATCTGAAACACATGTGGCAGGGAGCATGAGATGAGCACTAATCTTCCAGAATAACGTACCTTTAAGAAGTGGAGAATTGTCAATAGGTCCAGGGTTGGCACTTTCCTCCCCAGCATTACCCGAGTCCCAGTTATCATAACCAACATATTTCTTCCATTGTTTGTACCACTTTGTATCTAGCAAATACCTGGAAACAAAAACAATTTTCTGTTAAATTCATTAGATTCAACTAAGCTTTCCACCAATGGAATTGAAATCTGGTCCTTTATGTTATAGCAAGTAAGTGTATAGCTCGCTGAGCCACTGCAGTACCTCAAATGCTCAGGAGATATATAACTGGCACAAGATCTTACCAATTTGCCCAATAGTGTTTGATATTCAAATTTGATGTTTCGTAATGTACAGTGTACTTTCACTTTCCTTTTCAATTTCAGGTCAAATATTTTCAAGGATGTGCCTCTCAATTCTTGTGAAATACAGGCTTACAAACTTCCTCTTTCATAAAAAAAATCTGAGAAATATCCTTATAAGGTATTTCTCATGCATAAAAAGGCCAGTAAGTCTTCTTTGATGTCATTTTTGACATAAAAGGAGTGTCATTAACCTGTCCAAGTTCCCTCATGTTGATAAAGTGAGTCAGCGAATGAATCCATTGACGACATGATCGACTGTCGGCGGTATCTCCAAGAGAATCTTGAAGAAAATCACACTTAAAACTTATGTCGTTGTAAAGTATGTGGACTTATCTTACCAAATATCGTCTTTTCGAAGCTGTTGGTTGAGGCAATTTCGTATTTCATCCTTTTGAGTTTGGCAAATCGGTGGTCCACCTTCCGCCATTTTCCTCGTTTTAAGGGAAGTCCAAAATGCAGCATTTCTTATATAAAAGCATTTGATTGGTTGATAAGGTGTGACGTCAGGAAACTTCCTTTCAATTCTATTTTTAGACGTAGGGTAAAGTGGATCATTTCGTACCGTCTGGTTTGGGCAGTCTGTGAAATTATTTTGGCTCTAGAAATACTCTCAAAAGTATTAATAATCAATAAATGTCTTCTATGTAAATCAGCCTGGTGTGAATGAATTGACAAACCTTGGTCTATAGCAGACTGGTAAAGGGTGTCCCAAAATGGTGTTCCAGAAAGCAGAGCCTCTGGCTCTGAGGCTCTGGCTTTGGCCTTCAATTCTTTTAAAACTTAATTGTCAAAAATAGCTTCATAGCTTAATATGCTTTTCATCTGGTTTGGTTTGGTTTGGAAGCAAAACAACAGATCTTTGCAATATAAAATTTATTATTATGAATATTCTTATGAATGATGGTGAGCAGTGGCAAAGCATGGATAAAAATTTAGGACCGGGGGAGAACCTTGATTATTTTCCAAATTTTGATTTGCAACTAAAAGAAGATGGTACTTTATTCTGTGCCTGTAGGGGTTCATCAAAAAGTATCTTAATTCAAATTCCATCCCCTCCAATCACAAGCATCCCATGCATACGAACAGACAGAAATGTCTTGCCCTGGGAGGTTTGTGGGTTGGCAAATATGAGATAAAATGCAGAACTTCATTGTCTCTGTAAGAAAGGTTGTTGAGGACTCTAGGACTATTAAAAGCCCCCAGCATCCCTCTTCAGAGTTCTACCCTGCAGAACAGGATATTTGTTTAAAGCCTCCAGCACCCCTCTTCTCCTCAGCCTTTGCCTCTGTGGAGCAAGATATTAAATATGAAAAATAACGAATATAAAAAATAACATAATTAAAATATAAAAACTTAATTAGAAATTTATAACATGGAATAAATACATTATTATTATCATTATTATTATTATTATTAAATACAGGAACGCAGTAGACCCGCTTGGAGTATCAAATGCATTCAGCCACTTTCAGCAGTTTTCTTAAATTTGTAGGGCATTAACGGAACCATTTCATATCAACAGGCTTCAGACAACTTTCAGCAGTTCCATAAAGCTGCAGGAACTGTCACAATGTGTCACTTGCAATAGAATTTGATTGGATTCTTTAAGAGATCGTAGAGAGATATTTTGTCCAATGAAAAGTGTCCTTTAAAAAACAGCGGCAATTTGTAACTTTTAAGAGGATAATTTTCATTGGTTCAAATCTCTTAATGATCATATATATCCGATGAAATTGAACTTAATTAACTGTATTTGAGAGGATACTTTTCATTGGCCAAAACATTTTCACAATCTCGTAAATAATCTCATGAAATTCAGGCCGTGGAATATTAACGATGATCTTAGTACACTCCTGTTGTATTAGTTCATTGTATGCTCTTGTCTGTAGCGCACTAATGTGAAGTTCCCAAATTATGGCCTTGATAGTAAACTTATAGCTAATATCTACCACAACCTAATATTATACCTAAAACCTTCTTATACTATGATATCTATTGAGCTCGTCAAATAATGCTGACACGTTTAGGATATAAAATCCTCATCAGGACAGATAATATATGCTAATAGTCAAATATATATACTACCATAAATTTCATAAAACTAAATGTAGGCCTATATCAAATATATCTTTGTATATGTTTAAAATTTACTAACTTACTAAATGCTATGTCTCAAACACACAGGGCACCAAAGGCCATAAGTTTTGGAGAGCAGTAGGGCGTACTCCTGTTGGTCTGAAATAAACTAGCTTAAAACTTATGGAACCAAAACGTTTCTGACCACAGCCAAAACCAAATAAAAAGGATTGGTTGTAAGTGGATTTTTACATTGAGAAATAGCACATTTATTACAAAACTGACAAAAATGCTGTGTGCAGTTTTTGAAAATTTTTCATCCACAGCGTTTTTGAAAACAGGGCAATGATCAGAGGAAGCACTTGATTTTGAACAAGAATATAGAACAATACAAAACTTAGCACATACATAATAATTCAAAATTAACTTGGATGTGGAGATTATGTAGGTTAATTATTATGGTAACATTGTGGTCTGGAAATTTGTAATGTTAGCTGGAGTTGTCTCCCTTTAGAGAGTAATACAGAGAGCCTGATGATAGATTTATCATTAGGTCTATCCTTATAATTCTAACCAGAAACAGGCTCAGAAATTCCTGGATATTCTGGATTGAATTTTGCATTATGTTGATTCAGAGATATGGATAGGTTTCAATATATCTAGTTTTAAGATATATTTTCACAAATTACAGTTTGCATTTCATTAGTTCTTCACTCATGATATGATAGAAATGTTGGCTTAATAAAGCTTTTTAAAACATCGGCTCACAACATTCAGTCCAAAATCTTTCAACTTTGGTGATACATAGATATGCATAGAAGTTTATAAGTCATGTTAACACAAATTGATGTCCAATTTCGCGAATTCTCAACCAATGGAGAAGTGAAAACGTTTTTTTTAGAGATGGCAAAGCTTTAAGATGTTTTTACACCATAGGGATTACCAGTGCCGTATGGTTGCCATTAATGAAAGTTGCCATGACACCTCAGTTGCGTCAGAGTGCCAACAGATGGCTGCTATTCTTATTCTTGCTATTCGCAACCATACGCAGCTGGTGATCACTATGGTGTGAAAGTCACTTTAACTGATATACTGTACTGATGTAAAGCGATTATGGTTTCAAATTATGCTGTTGAAGAAAGATCTATCATCTTTTGTTGCTGACCTCTGTAAAACAGGCATCGCACACACGCACAGGTTTTTTCGACGCCGCCAGAGGCACTGTTTTGGACGAGCAGTCATTACAGAAGATATGTCCACAGTTACGGCAATGATGCTGAAAAAAAGATTAACATTTAATACAGCTACAGAACTTAAAAAGTAACAAAAAATACCCCTAATTTTACAAATAAACTCTTCCAATCATACATATAGTTTCACATTTATAGAAATAATGCATGTGTGGAAGAGTTCAATAGAAAGTTGAAGGGTTTCAAGTAGATTACTGACACACTTACAGTCAAGTCTGAGTGATGCTTAAAATATAACTGTTATCCAATTCTATTTTGACAAATGTTCCTTAAATCTCACATTTATATTGTTCTGTAGGAGTTTTCAATCATAGACAAGGATCAAGTCAGATAAAAAAAAAACAGAGTAAAGGTTTTTTTTTTGAGAACGTACCCGTCTGTTGGTGACAGAGAAAGCTTTACGACATGCCGAACAGTCTGTTGCTTCTGTATCATCTGTCCATTTTCTATTGGTTACTTTAGTTGATGTTATCTACAATAAAACTCGAAATATTACAGGTTTTTTAAACTCTGTATGTGTATCAGCCATGCTGATCCAATTGTTTATTTCAAATAATCCTCCAAAAATTTATCATAGATTTGAATCAAACAATAAGTTTTATGAAAGTACCTGCAATGTTTGATTTTCACGGCCCAGTTCCTGTAGTGCAGCCTCAGTATCATCCAGTTTCCGCCTCAATTCCGTCACTTTCTCTCGTAGTCTCTCACATTCTGTTTCACTTGCTAAACATCTATAAATTACAAAAGATTCAGGTGATTATTATTGATTTATTTCTCTTACGGCTACGAAAAAGGCTTGTTCTTTCACTTTGTATCTTCAACTATTATATACCTACCGTGTTTCACTTTAGCTGGTAACCCTTGTATTAGGCTCTTGTGTAATAGAAATATGTATAAATATTCATGATGTCACATAATTTTCAAACCAGCAAATCAGCTGCCTCTACACAATCATTTTTACAGTGGTTTTGTATGAACACGCTCTAAGATTTTGTATTTATAGTAGGACACTTTTTGATTGGTCGATAGGCTGGAAATGGCAAAACTCATGTAAAAAGGGTTGTTTTATTCCAAGAAGTAAACCACAGCCCCATCTATTTATTGATGATCTAAAAAATGATGCGTTCTAGAATACTTTAAAATTGATTCCTCACCTTTCTACAAGCAGACGTCTTTCATCATTATTATTGGCTAATTTCGCGTCTAATTCTAATTTTTCACCCTTCAATTCATCGTTCAGTTTATTGGCGTCGTCAAGCTGTTGTTGGGTCACGGTCAAATCTCCGCGGATTGTCGTAAGGTTTTCATTTAATACTGACAGCTGCATTTCCGTTCTCACGTTATCTTCTTCATACTGCTTCTCTCTTTCTTTCATCTTCTTCTCACTATTTTCCTGGAGAGGAAATAAAATTTTGTAAAGGTATAAGCCTAGCTTTTCGAAGATCCTTTCTACCAGCTGATCCTTGGCCAAACCTTTTGGTAATGATTGTAAAAAGGATAGCAAATTAGGTTCACGAACTCCAGTCTGCCAACTGGTCTTGATTTTTAAATGGTAGAGAGGCAAGGCTACCCCTAACCCTCTATGCTCTTACAAAACAACGATTTCTGGATATGCCAATTTCAAAATGTTCTCTGTACTTACTGAGTGTTTTTTTAAACTTTCATTTTCGTGTTTAAGTTTTTCTTGTAACTTTTCAGCTTCTTCTTTTATCTTATCTTGTTCTCCTTTTTTCTGAAATGATACATCTTTTAGTCTACTAAGTGAAGCTCAAGTAGTGCCCAATGAGGTAAATGGTCTAAATTTATTGTCCAAGTGATTGGTTTAAATGCAAAGAAATCAGATTTTCTACAGAAATGAAATTTGACAATACCTCATCTAGTAATGTCTGTAGAGCCACCATTTTATTTTGTTGTTCAAGTTTCTGAGAGATCAGAAGTTCTCTGGCTTCTTCAAGATCAGATACTTCCTAAAGTCAAAAAAAAAAAAAAAAAATAAATAAATGATAATTTCAGGTTAGTAATTCAGAGTTATACCATATAAACATTATTAGATATGTGGACTCTCTGAAAGAGATGCTGAGTTGACAAACTTAAATATCAAATAAACATTATTAGCTATGTGGACTCTCTGAAAGGAATTCAGAGTTGACAAACCTAAATACCATATAAACATTATTAGCTTAGGGTTTATTCAATTGAAATACAGAGTTGAATAACTCAGTTGCAACATCCACCACAAAAAAGTTATCAAAGTTTTAGGCTTGTAAGATGAAGAGTGCACTTGGAATAAACAGAATGGGAGCCAAACCACAAGAAATTAATAAAAAAAAACCCAAAAATATGGAAGAATGGAATCTTTCATTTGAAATTTTTAAGGATAAATAACAAATCTGCGGTTCCCTTGAGTAAATCACGCCCTTTCTGACAAAAGGAAAAAAAAATCAAAACAAAAATTTAGGTTTAAAATTTGCAATACCAGAACCAATGCCCAAGCAAAATCACAATTTCAAAATCTTTTCACCAAACATAACCAAAACCGATGTTCTAAAATAATTTACCTGAAATTGTTTTTGTTGTCAAAATATTTGCATCAAAGATTGAATGGAGTTCTTTTCATGATGCTGGCACGTTTCAGATACACTATCCTTATCAGGAGAGTTTGATTGGAAATGGAGTTAAAATTTGGACTTTGCATTTGGAAGTAAGCAGGGACCAAAGTTGTGGTAATGCAAGTTTTACACCCTTCAAATTAACACATGTTTCAGTTATACAACCACCATCAGGACAGTTAGTTTATAACAACATATTATAAAATAAACAATTTTATGGATAGCAATTCATTTTTTGAATACAAGAATTTCGATACAAGAACATTAAAATAACAAAAAATAACAAAATACATACACAGCAAATTGAGGAGACAAATTGAACGATGGTGTTCTAGTTGTCAGGATGGTGTGCACGTTATTTACAATGACAGATTTTCTAGATTCAGGGTAAGACAACAGTGGCAGAGCCAGGTTGACATCCTGTCCGAGGGGGGAATATCTGAGGTTGCCCGAATTTTTAACCTAGTTAAGAGAGTCATGCTTGAAAAACTCGCTCTGGCGCTGCCATTGTAAGACATCAAGCGTTCTATACATACATAATATATTCGCAATTATACAGTATCTGTACCAATACACAAAAATTATATACTCCACACTATTATGGTGTCTGCGTTATGCCAACTAGTCAATTTCTATCTGGATGGGGTGAGTAGTATTAACAATGACAGATTATTACAGAGGGTAAGAGAGGTGTGCATTATATTCACAAATATACAGTATCTGTACCAATACACAAAAAATAAATATCACATACTATTATGGTGTCTGCGTTATGCCAACTAGTTAATTTCTATCTGGATGGGGTGAGTAGTATTACCAATTATTTTTACAGATTTATTTGAGGGTAAGAGAGGTGTGCATTATATTCACAAATATACAGTATCTGTACCAATACACAAAAAATAAATATCACATACTATTATGGTGTCTGCATTATGCATTATTATTAGTATTAACAATGACAGACTATTACAGAGGGTAAGAGAGGTGCGCATTATATTCACAAATATACAGTATCTGTTACCAATACACAAAACAAATCACACAACAAACACAGGCATAAATATATACAGTATCTGTTACCAAATCACAGAGACCAGGTCATCAGAATTTTTAGACCAATAGATGTGGTCCTACCTGTTTTCTTTCACTCCTTTCTGTTTCTAACAAGGTTTTTAATTGGTCGCGATCTTTTTCAAAAGATTCGTTTGCTTCTTTACTCTCTGCATACAATTTTCTTAAATTCACTAATTCTTCTTCTTGGGAGACCTAAAAAACAAAGAAAAATAAATTATCACAGTTCAAATTTGACATCTGCTCATTACGCCATGGTTACATTGGACATATTACAGTAACTTTTGAGATGTTACTTTTCATTGGTCAAAATGATTTCATCATCTAAGAATTTAATAATGGAGTCCTTTGCTAAGTAACGTGTAATGAGCAGGCTATGGGCATATCACTACTGCTTTTGAAAGGATACTTTTGATTGGTCTGAATATCGAACAGAGTATTCAATCAAATTCAAATGTGTCACCACCGACAATGTTACTGATATATGGTTACCTGCTACAGTAAAACACGGTAGATTTATGTAAAACACAAGGAAGAGATATTGATAATTACCTTAATTTTTTCCAATTCTTCTTTTTTACTAGTTGCTTCTTTAAGTTCCGAATCTAATTTTAACATCTGATTATTCATGGCTGTTCTCACCTGTAACAAAAAATCCAACGATAAACTGAGTTTTTAGACTAGGAGAGAATACCTTTTAGATTTTTCAACCCAGGTCAGTGATGTAGGTTGGAGGGACTGACATGGAAAAAGATGTCTTGTCATTTGGATGGGACAATATATCTAGGTTCCTTATTATACAGGCTGTGGACATTTAACTATTCCTCGACAGTTGGAAATCGAAAAAGAGCAGGCTAATGCTGCTGTCCTGACAAAATTTCCCTCATTGCATACTGCATTGTGTTGCCGTCTTCATTAACCAACAACATGGTGCAGAAAAGTAGGATGTTTAACAACATTTCATTTCATCAACGCACTGGACAGTTGGCAAAATTTCTCTCATTACACACTGCATGGCGTTGCCCGTGTTCATTAGCTCAGGTCCAATAACATGGGTTGTAAAACTCCATTTCATTTCATTTTATCAATGCATTTACCTCACTCAACTCTTCAAATGAGTTATTCAACTCTTTTTCTCGTTCGTTAGATTTCTCTATTTCTTCTTTTAAACTTTTAATTTCATCGTTTAATTTCGAGATCGAGGCTTCCTTCTCTGTTAAATTTTTCTCCAAGTTTGTAAGTTTTTCCGTCAAATCCTGGAAAGAATTGTAAGAAATTTTAATATCTCAAACTTCGATTCTTCTTGTGAAAAATATCATAACATCTTTTGAATTGATTTTGATTTGTTTACTATTACATTACATTACCTGTATTTTTTTCAAGTTTTCATTTTTATCTGCTGTGGACTGTTCACTTGAAGATTTCAACTTATTTTCCATTTCTTGTTTTTCTTTTTGCTGAAAATATTCAATAATTATTTAGTTAAAGGGACAAGGGTGCCATGTTTTTGACCAATCATACTTTTAACTAAGCCAATCAGTAATAGTGTTCACAGCTACATCAAAATTTGAGCCCTTCAAATCCATGTGTGTCCAGAATTATCCATGTTTAAGAGATTCAAATAAATACCTGTTGTTCAAGATTTTTTTCTAAAGTCTGTTTCTCATTTGTCAATGTTTCTATAGTCTGTTTCAATGATGCAGCATCCCCACTTAAATTCTTCTTTGTCTACAAAAACACCACACAAATACAAAAGTTATGACCATACTTGCAATAGTTGTATGGTTACGATCGCGTATGTTTCACAAAAAGTATTTGTACCTACAACTTTTACGATTACAATAACAAAAAACACTAGCAGTCTAAAAATTCTACTTTAAGGGAAAACTGATGTGCTAGACCTGCAGCTACAAATGCCACCATCTTGGATTTGACGTCTGCTAGACAAACAAATTGCTTTTGTAATGAAGAGTGTAACAGATAACTGAAATAGAGCTCTATCATCTTTGGACAGCCAATTTTAGACACTTCTATCAGCTGGGACAGATATATTTAAACGACTTTATCACTTAAAAAAAAGAAATTAAAGACTACCTCTTCTAACATAGCTTGTGTTTGATTCAAACTAGATTCTTTCTCTGATAATTTGTTTTTTACTGCTACCAATTCATCACTTACTGTCTGTTTCTCTTTCTCAGTAGTTTCTAAAGCTGTTTTCTAAAACAATTGAACACAAAAAAAATCAAGCAAAGATAAGACAAAACAACATTAAAAGGATTTCTTGACAGAATAAACTTGTAAGAAACGTTGGACATCTTGAAGTGTCTATCATCCATTGTTGCTATTGTTTCTTTTGGATATGTTCAAAAACGCCAAGGTTCTGTGATCTTTTTCACATGAAAATGTGAAGTTATTCATTGTCTTCTAAAGTATTGTGCTGTTGTCAGCATTAAGACATTGTGTATTGCGTAATTCATGGGTTACATTGATTTTTACCAAGTCAATTTTAGAAGTTAGGCCTTGTATCCTAAACTGCATTAATTTTTTAAGATATTGTACTGCTACCAACCTTAAGACCTTGTGTATTTAGTATATGAAGAGTAATGTGGAATTTTTCATGTGAAACAGTTTTATTATACCTTTTCTTGAAAGTTATTTTCTAACTGTGTATATTTCTCCAGTAACTGGGAACTTTTCTCACTCTGTTCTTTAATAGTCACTTCTAGTCCAGTGATCTTATCTTGTCGTAATAGAATATCTTTCTGAATCTTTTAAAAATAAAAACTCAAATCATAAGTTTGATGAGGCCGATGGAGACAAACAACACAATCAGTGTGCAATGAGGGAAACTGGACAAAACATTAGTCAACTTTTATTTTTATATTCCAACTGGCAGAAATAAGGTTTCCCTTTTATTTTCCAATCTGACAACAGGTCACTTGAAAATTACATGAACAAAGTAAGAGAGATAACGCTTAATTGTGGTCTTCTAATTGATCTGGTTCCAGGTAAGAAAACAATGCAGTTCCACAGCCTGTGCCTTTGTGGAAAAAGTGTTCCAGATGATATTCTTCAATGCACATTAGGGTTTGTTAGAGTATTTTAATAACTCTACCTGTTCTAATTGTTGTTTGAGTTTCTCCAATTCTTTATTTTTCTCTTCCAATGCATTCTGGGTAGTTTTAATGTGATTCTCTAAATCTGAACGTTGACTTGTTTTAGCCGCCTCCGCTGCTGATAATGCCTCATTCTGTAAGATCAATCGATCTAAATATGAATATTCATTATTTTCAACATTCTCCCTATATCAACGTGCTTGAAATATGTCGTCTGCTAGTTATGCGTGTACAATTAGGATCTTCTTTAGTCCAAAATTTCCAGTTAGCAAATATTCTCTTCAAGTGACACAGTTTTCTGAAGTATTTATTGTTTGTTATTTACCTGAGCTTCAAGTTTTTTCTCTAGAGTTTGTTTACTATTGTTCAATTCTTCTAGTTTAGATTTTAACTTTTCACTTTCACCGTCTGCTTTCTTCTTGGTCTAAAATAAAAAATAATAACAGTTAAAAAATCACAGCAAAAATAACCAAAAAGTTCTAGGGTAAAACTGTACAGGAAATCAAACATCCAAACTTCCGCATGAGTTATAGAAGAAATCATGCTTAGACCGTGGCATTAGCCTACTCTGTTTCCAAATGTCAAGAGATCCTTCAAAAGACAGCCTGTTATTAAACAACAAGACGATTTTTCCATGCCAGCCCCGCTAACCTACATCTCAAGGATTGAATCTAGGACCCCACAGTTAGTAAGCACATATACTACTAATCTTAAAACCACAAATGAGAATTTCATACCTCTTCTAGTTCTTGTTTTAAAGTATTCAGGTTGTTTTTGGTATCTTTCAATGATCTTTTAACATTAGTTAGTTCATCAGATAGAGTCTTCTTTTCTTTCTCTAGATTTTCATAACCAGTTTTCTATAAAGGTAAGTGGAATAGAGTTTTACATCCTACCCTTATTGGTGTACATAAAGACAGGTAATGCAATAAGGGAAATTGATGTTATGACAGAGATAATATTCCTGGATTACAATCCAATCCTTTAGTTATTTACTTGTAGATGTACAAGAAGTCTAATATGAATTATAAAAAGCGTCACTGGTAGCCAATAATATCAAAGGATAAAGCAAAGCAAAAGTAATCAAATTATTACCTTTTCTGTCAGTTCTCTTTCTAAAGCGGTGTTTTTCTGTTGAAGCTGATTCACTTTCTCTGTGTGATCTTTTATTTCAACTTCCAGAAGAGTTATCTTTTCTTTACGACCCGACGATTCTTCCTTGACCTTAAAAAAGATCAAATTTGGGAGACATTAAAGGGAGTGGTACACCCTACTATCTGCACCTGATTAGGCTTAATGAAGACGGGCAACTTTTGAAATTTTGCTAGGACAGCGGAATGAGCCTATTACTTTACACTTTCTGACTGTCGAGGGATCTTCAATGCACACAGCCTAGGTTAATTGTCCAATCTGAACCACTAGATGCTTTTTCCATTTCAGGGGGAAAGCTGGGAAATTTAGAGCCTATGAAATCAAGCAGACTACCTCTTCAACTTGTTGTTTAAGTTTCTCCAATTCTTTATTCTTCTCTTCCAATGCATTCTGGGTAGTTTTAATATGATTCTCTAAATCTGAACGTTGACTTGTTTTAGCCGCCTCGGCTGCCAGTAAGACTTCATTCTGAAATATCAAAATTAGAAAAAATTTACCCTCCATTAAGATTTTTGTCTTGAAAGTATTGTGAAAGCTTTTTGTAAACTTTTTATGAATTGGGCACACTGATAGCTTTAATTTGCACGTTTCTAATTTTCACTCAGACGTCTTTGGTTCTGACAAATTCCACTAAAACAAAGCGTTATCACAGAGGATAGGAACCACAGACGTCTGATTGAAAATTGGAATGGTGCAAATTGATCATTCTCTCCAATACACACAAAAATTAGATAACATCTTTACAATCCCTTTTAGAAATATTTTTTCACAGTACCTTGGTTTTCATATCCACGTCAAGTTGTTGTAATTTTTGTTGAGAAGATTGAAGTTTTTCTGACTTTTCGTTGAGCGTAGCCTGTAGTTTCTTGGCTTTTTCTTGGAATGTTTGAAGTTGAGATTTGGAATCTTGTATTTGTT